AACTATGTTACTCGTTTATATATTTACTATACTGTACTTCTTATTTGCTGTTTAGGCTATACCAGGGGTCATCAACAAGGTGCCCGTGGGCACCAGGATGCCCCCAAGGACCACATGAGTCGCCCGCGGACCTGTTCTGAAAATAGCACAACTCATCAGTGAGCAGCATCTACAATTTAATTTTATCCTGTTGCTATTCTTCTTTAATCACATTTGCATTTATTTAGATTTGAAAATGACAATATCTAAAAAAGCATTTAAAACATGTTTATTATACATGAAGGTTAGATAAGTTTAGGAGGCCGTTTCAAACTGGCAGCCCTTCGTATGGCTCAGTACCCGTGAAGTAGCTCTCAGTTTCAAAAAGGTTAGTGACCCCTGGGCTAAACTATATTGCCTAGGTGTGTAGAAGGCTATATCATCGGGTGGCCATCCTTATCCGCAAAGGGCCAGTGTGTATGCAGGCTTTTGGGATAACCTATAGGTCAACTGGCCAAACCCTGGTGTGAGGACTCTTCAGCAAATCAGTCCTCTAATTATTAATCTAATTAGGGAATTGCAGTGAAAACCTTTATACACAGTGGCTGTTTCTGGATAAGATTGGCCACCCCTGCACTATCAGGGTTTCTTAAGATTTGAACAAGTTAAATTTAAGACTTTTTAAGACCTCTTTAGGACCATTAGAAATGCAACATATATTTCACATTAATACGGGCAAAAATGTATGAAGGATATGAAGGAAAATCAGAGTCCCAGAATTATTTGCAACGTAATTTACTCACATTCAACATGAACATTCAGCTTATTTTGATGAGAGGAGACGCCACGTTACCCCACATCACCACACACCAGCTGGGCATGCGGCGATAACATTCTGACCAGGCTACACAGTTTGCAGCTAATGGTTAGCAGCTAATGGTTAGCAGGTAGCGCTTATTGCTTCCGTGTTGGTTTCATTTTGTAGTTCTGTTAAAGGGTGATCAATACATTTTTCCATGAGACACATTTAAAAGCGAGAATTAAGTTAATGCAACTTTATATAAGTACAGTAAGCCCCACATACCCATGGGTGATACACATATAACGTGATTTTTGTGTACATACATGTGGTAAAGTTTAATTGAGATATTATGCACAGTAAGACACTATCAACATTAAATACAGTAATAATGAAGTACATTGAACATTATACAGTACTGTGTAGTACCTTACTGCACTCTCAGATGAAAGGGATTCTGACATTTTTGCCTCATTCTCAAGACACGATATAGCAATGAAAATATATCATGCATCGAGAGATGTCGATAACGGAGCCATGAAAATTATGCTTTTTATACCCCTCAACTGATGAAGGTCAGGTCAGGTCAGATCAGGTCAGGTTAGGGAGCATTCACTGGTACAGGGTGTTGCCACACCAACCACATGACAAAACACCATGGGTGTCTCCCTGGACTGGTCCAGCCACCCAAGTCCTCAGCAATGAGCATCCAGCGATCCGGTGTTCTGCCCTTTTTTATAACCGACAGAAACTGCTTCCAAGCGCTACAGCACATGCGTAAGTCAGCAGTACGCCATAGGTCGCTAAAGATTGTTTCTGTTCATATTCTGTTGATATTACGTGCATTAAACAAATCGTGGTGATTGTTATTATACTGTTTATATTCCGAATCCTGTTAATATGGGACCAGATTTTACCATTAAACTTGAGGGTACATGTGTATTTGTTTTGCTTGTTGAGACTACTTAAAACGGTGGCCTTTGTTTCAGTTAAAGCAGAAATTATTAAAATTATTTAAATAGAAACGTAAATCTCATTAGTCGAGTTACCTGGAACTATATTTGTTCGATACAGAAGCATTACAGTGTGTTTTCAGAGCGAGGTCTGCATCTCCACATCTTATGAGTCAAGAAAGGCGAGTTGTGTTTACTGATGTAAGAAAGTTTTTATTACATGATTGTACTACCACTGAAAAGTAGAATTAGGTGATCAGTGTTGACACACCACAGCACAAAGTGCACAACAATGAAATGTGTCCTCTGCATTTAACCCATATGTGACATCATGACATAGCAGGGAGCAGCTAATTCAGTGCCCGGGGAGCAGTACCCTACTCAGGGTACCTCAGTGGTGATTTGCTGGTCAGGGATTTGAACCAGGTAGCAGTTTCTGGCAGCATAAAATGTAAAATTGCTACCCCCTTTCAAAGTATAGGAAAGTTAGCATTCTTATACAAATGTCCATTCCAAACTATGGGTATGACGTAAGTGACACTCCCTCACAATGCAGGTAATGTGCCTTATTCGGGACTCCCTGAGCATCCAAAGTCAAAGCAGTGGTAACCAAGGGTTCTCAAAGGAGTTCGGTCTTCATCTCAGGTCACTGGGTAGCGTCCAGTGATAAAGGAACATTGGAAAAAACATGGGCTGCTCTTACACATTTTACAACAAAAATATTGTATCATATACCTGTACATAACTTGTAATAGGAAATTTTTGTTAAAAATATCTTAGCCCATTGTGGCCTGTCTGCGTGTGGCGCATAATTTTAAACCGTCAGTACTTTTTAATCTTTTTTTTCGGACCGCAGTAAACTACAGATAACTGAAACCACGGATTCCACTGTAACCCCATCCATCCATCCATCCATCCATCCATCCATTATCTACCGCTTAAACGAGGTCGGGTCGCAGTCTAAGCGGGGAAACGCAGACTTCCATCTCCCCGGCCACGTCATCCAGCTCCTCTGGGGAAATCCCGAGGACTTCCCAGGCCAGCCGAGAGACACAGTCCCTCCAGCGTGTCCTGGGTTTTCCCCGGGGCCTCCTCACAGTGTAACGTTGACTTAAAAAACCAATCAGTTTTTAAGACCTGTCTGTATTCCATTTACGACATTTAAGCCCTCACGTTCAGGCTGAATTCTAGCCTTTTTAAGGAGCCTTGGAAAGTCTGACTACGATGTTCTTATACTGGCGAAATCGCCTTACGACACATTTCTCACAGGCGCGTCCCTGTCGTTAAGTGATGGGGGGCCCAGGCTGACATGGGTTGGGGGGGCCTACGTGAGCTATTTTTTGGAGCCGAAAGAGAAACGAGGGAGAAGTAAAAACGATGGAACATCAATCATATGCAATCCAAACGCGGGTCGTCGGCAGTAAAACTTACCGATCAGGGTGGGGGGCGGGAGTGCTGTCAGTAAAATTCGACGATCTGGGGGGAGGGGGGTGTGCCAGCTTTTGCTATAGTTAGTCTTGAATTTTTGCAGACGTTCGTTTAATAATTGTGTTCTTTCCACGTCTGTTTGTAATTTGTTAACCACTATAGCGGGACAGTAGTCTCTTATCTTTGATGTTCTCTTCTTCTGTCACAGTACTTCGTGCCGGGTCGCGTGGCAGCAAAAAAACCGTTAGGCTCCGGTGTTACACGAAAGTCTCGAGTAGAATAGTCCATTATAGCCGGGACGGGGGGCAACTTTGTCTGCCACTAAAATGCACATAACAGATATTTGCTATAATTTTAAATGATCGTATTATGTTATATCCATAAATGTAACTGAAGGAAATTTTGTCTTCATGAGGCCCCCAGTTTTCGGGGGGCCCTGGCAGCTGCCTACCCCCCCCTTATGGTAAGTCCGCCCCTGAGCGACACATGGCTATACTGATTCTGCCAAGTGAAACTGCATCGTACGTATAACCGACAGCTATGTATAGGCTGTGTAATTATCATATCATTCCTGGTTTTACTGTATGTTAGTGTTATTTTAGGTTTGATGTGTTGCGTGGCATGATTTGGTCGGTTACTTTTTTCGGCTTGGAAACGTTTTCCCATATAAATTAAGGGTAATTGCTTTTTCGCTAGTGGTATCTAGTGAGGGGCGGCATGGTGGTTAGCACTGTTGCCTCACACCACTGGGACCTGGGTTCGAGTCTCCGCCTGGGTCACATGTGTGTGGAGTTTGCATGTTGTCGTCGTGGGGTTTCTTCCGGTTGCTGAGGTAATTGGTGTAAAAATGTGTATGTTTGCTTGTAACTGGGACTGTACCCTCAAGGGTCTGCCAATTTTACCATTAGCTGCAGGTAAATACACATTTTAAGGACCCCAAGGAACATTTTTATACCATTGGGGGGTACATTACTGTTGTTTGTACCTAGGGGATGTTCCTCAGAGTCCATTTCTGCACCTTAAATTAGACTAAAATGTACATTTACTTACAGCTAAGGTACAAGAGGCAGACTCATTAGGATGCTGTTTCAATTAACCTTTATCTTTTCATTGTTTTTTGTATGTCTGTCCTGTGTGAGTATACTGAGAGTGATGAAAAACCAGAGACAAATTCCTTGTATGTGTAAACATACTTGGCCAGTAAAGATGATCCTGAAATTATTTTTTTTTGACAGCGTATGGAGCAGCTATGAAAAAAAGACTCCTTTCAAAAGCTCAGGACCTTCTGTGCTCCTATAAGGAAAATGGTGGAAAATAAAGTTTTGCTGTGCAGAGAATTAAGGCTGCAAGCTTGATGTAACAAAGCAACAACCTTAAAGATACTCTGAAGGATACTGGCTGCCTAACTGGGGTGAAGTACCTGGTCACGTGGCCTTCCATTCGCACGTTGCATATTTAATATGTAAATGTGATTAATTCAGTATCTGGTTCCATGTAATGTATTTTTTTTTCTTTATAAAAACATCCAAGTAGGAATAGGTGTAGAAAATCAAAATTATCAGGTAAGCATTTTTCGCTGCATGTTTCTGGATACATAGCCTTAGTTTGAGCATTATTTTATCAGTGTTGTGAAGAACAGAGATTCGAAGACCCAGTGTGTTGGAGACGAGGATTTTATTTAGCAAGGGAATAGGCAAATTGAACGTGAATCATTGGGCTGGGATCGCTGTCGGGGGTCTCCGGGCATGGATGGTCGAGAACCGGGGGGATCAATCCTACAAACACAGGAGAAATTTGTGATGAGTACGGGGGGGTGCGAGGGATTCGGACGGGCTGGAAAGACAATGGGCGGGAGAGATCGGGCAAGACGAAAGACACTAGAAACCCACTCAATAAGTGCCTCACACTGAGTGAGAGAGTGAACAGGGTTAAGTACTAAGCAGGACAGGTGCATCATGTTCAGTGCCTTGATTCTGCCGTGTTCACACGCGGGACGTGACAGTTGTGGTGTTCAGTGTGGGGTATTTCAAGTAATTCAACAAAACTGCAACGTGATTAACAATTAGCACGTTCAGCAACTGTTTGACCTCTTTGGTACATTATATGATCAGTGTAAAGGAATCACGTGACCCCCGAAAACCCTTAAATCTGAGTTGTATAATTGGAGAGTAAGAGTGTATTTTTATTGACTTTGTCATTAGAGAAGAAAAATGATGTAGCTGAACATTTGCGAGGCTGATGCATGCTGCCCCCCATACTTACCAAAATTGTAAATAATTAAAAAAATATTTCTTGCCCATAAAAAGTATCAGATATTATTGAAGTGAAATCTGGTAAAATGCATAAAAGGTCTTTACTGTTAATGGGAAATTTCATATTTTCTTTGGAGCAGAAGGCATGAAATCACTATAATAGAGCTTTGCGCTTTCACTAAATACCATGAAAAGCATGAAACTCCAGTGTTCACCTCTGAATTTGGCTTTTGATGTTTTTTTTACTAGCACTAGTGATGCTACCTAGCAAGCATGGACTGCCATTAATTACAGTACAAACATCCCTTATAAGGACAGGCCTGCAGACACGTAGCCACATTTCAAAAAACGTGTTAGAAACCTCCCTGAGAATTTTTTTGGTCCCGACCAGGAACTTAACAAGGTAGTAAAACTGTGAGTTTGAATTTCCCTCAAAATGTGTATTGCGGTCTGTGAAATCTATAGAGGGACGCCCCCACCGGTGAAATTTACCCCAACGACCTATAGGTAGGGTTGCCAGATCCCCCAAGGAATTTATGTCTGGCTACGGGCCTGGCCTTATGTGTTGGTGTCCATGACCCGTTCAGGTGCACAAGGCAAGACTTCTGTTTGGAATCTTTCAAAATGTTCACATACAGCATTGGTGGGAAGGAGAAACTAGGACTATACGTTTTGATACAGCCCACATTTTTGCCTTTTCATCCTCCAGGGAATAAAAAGCAACGCAATGAATCACTTTATCCACTGGTTTTATTTTTTTCCACTTCGATCTCTTCTCTGTGATTGTATAATTTCAGCTCTGCAATGTGAAAAACACCTCAACTGACACACATTCACAGAGCATTGCCCCCTGAAGGTGTTCTGACTTGCTGGCAGAAGAAAGTCACTTATATTCCGGTTCACTAGATACATCGTGTCACTTTTGAAAAGCTCATCATTAGGATACTGTTTCAATTAACCCCTAAATCTTCTACTGCCAAACCATGTTGCTGACATGCCTGTGTTCCAGTGAGGGCATGATTTGTTAATATACAGACTCAGAGGCTTTAAGACCCAAGTCTGGCTCTGGTCAACAAGGTGATAACACACGAATACAAGGCAAGTGGAAATATAGAATTCAAAATCCACTACTGCTTGTTTTTAATATTTTTTTTTCCTTGTAGATGCCGGTACAGATATTGAGTGCGTCACTGGCAATTGCTCTTTGACATTTGGCAGTTAAACAAAGACGAGGAAGTTGGTTGCTACTTCTGAGAAGCAAGTAGAGAATCCAGAACTGTCTGCGTTGCCCCACGTGCCCTGGCTTACGGCGGAGCCGACGCTGGCTTTCAACCAGATGTTGACGAGCGGGCCGAGCCTTCAGGTGTAGCCGTCGCCCGTGAGAGCCTTTCGCCTTGCAGGGGCCCTGAGACGCCCAGCCTGCTGCCCGCCAACAAACCGAACTCCCTCGCTATTAGCTGAAGAAATCCACGGTGAGTGCATACAGGGTCCTGTCCCATTCTGTAATCTGCTGTGGGAATCTGACAGCATGTCTTCATATACTCAGTGAAATGCTGTCAAACACAAACCACTTAAAATAAAGCATCAGAAAAGGTCAAATGTCTGGATTATTTACCTGTCAAGCTAATTTTATTTTTAAAACCAGACCCTATAAGTATCCTATTATAATTACTGATTATTTAACACGCATCTGCAGTTGAATAGCATGGCTATAATTTCTAACTGTAAAAGACTAACTTTGTCCTCCATTTTGCCTTCATGAAACCTGAACTTAAAGCACCTAACGAATATTGCTAATATAAGCAATAATATCTAAGCAATATTATATTAACTACTGCTTTCATTAAACATCTTTAAACCACATCATGTTATGATTTTTAATACTACTGTGCCTTTATGTTATTTTCATATGAATAATATAGCAAATGAGAAAATATGCGTTTATATGTTTCAGTGTATTTAATGCTTTAAATTGCAGGCAAGATTTCAAAAGCAACCCTGCTTGTTACATAAAGGAGACCAAAAATAAAAATAGATCATTTTTGGGCAAAATGCTACAACACGTCAATTATATAATGTAGCCCAGAGACAGTAGTTGTAAACATGAAATACATATCCTTTGTGTTCAGGTTCTCACATGACATTTTCATGCTTTATTGATAATTGCGGATTTTCATGTGATAACTTCAGTAAACAACAGGAATAGCTGAAATTACAATGGCTTATTATATTCAGTTTGTGTAACTTTTAGCCGAAGTTAAGAAAACCCATTGAATAAACAATACGGCACAGTTTTTGAGTGTTACATATTTTTTATTTGCCTGAAGCTTGAGGGAAATCATAATTAAAATCATAATTGGACTGTGACATATTACAGCATTTTCAAATCCAATTTACCTTCTAATTCGAAAGAGCCATTTTAAGGCAAATGTTTTCACCAAAAGTGTGTGTGATTAATATTTTTTCTTTGCCAGTATAATCAAAACACATTTGCAAACTGTAAATCGGTTCAATACACAGATATAAAATAATTCCCCTGAGCAAAGTGTGGATGCCTGTTATGTTTGAATGAAGAGACGAGATATTAGCATGACTCAGATAATTGGGCTCCTTTAATATCGACTGACTGCAACTTTCTGATTGATACATTTGAGGAATAAGAATACAGCACTACAGAGCATAAAGCAAGGGAAATATATAATGTAACAGCCGTTTGATAGATGACCATTAAAGGGAGGAATGCGGGGGCAGATTTTAATAATCATCTACGTGTTGGAAAAATTTGCTTCTGGTTTTGGTTTCCGTTGAAACAGATTTAGGTATGAGTTTGTTTATAGGCCTAAGCAGTGTCGATAACATATACTGAGAACAAATAAATTAAGAAATAAACACTGATAGTAAGTGTTTATTTTTTACATAGTCCCCTTTCAAGAAATTACCTTGTCTATGTCCGCAAAATCGGACGAGTCACGGCATTATAAGCTAGATCAAGAAGTTGGCAATGATCCGGTGTATTTTGTCTGAGATATGTAAGCACAAAATGCATGTCTACTGAGGAATATGTGTGAATTTCTTTTATATAAATGGCAATACACAGATAATACTGTCCTGCATGCAAAATGTGGAGCAGGTGGTTACATCAGGAGCAGACTTGTAAAAAAAACAACATATCCTCAGATGTTTTTATCTTTACTGCTGGTGTCATTATTTAGGTAGAAATCAAGCGTCTGCCATAAGTACTCTGTTACAATGTAATCCTACAATTTATGATGTACTGTATTAAAATTGGGTTTCTTATTATCTGGCCCTTACAAAATGCACGGCTGTAAAAGTTAACTTTTTTTTTTAAAGGGAAAATCTTACTCATGCAATGGGCCTGATTCTTGCACATTTCTTGTGCTGGAATGTGGGATGTTTAACCTTTAAAGCCTCAAGCTGCCGCTCATAGATCCACAGAGCAACACCAATTAGAGCACAGGAAAAGTGTCTATGCTCAGAGATGCTATCGCTGCCCCCTGTATATTTTGCCTCTCGACTGTAGGCTCAGTGGAGCTGAAAACCATTTCTTTCAAGATGAACTCTGGGCATCTAGTCTCTGTGCTTTGCTGTTAGGTATGTTGGCTGCATTTTCTGTTTTGTGACCCTGATTGCAAAGAGGAAATGACATGTTAGTTGTTTAGTTGAAAAACTGTGCATGATTTAATACTTTCTTCATTTCTCTAGTTTACAGAATACACTGGTGCAAGAATTAGGGCTTCAAGGTATTTTTTTTCTTTATGGTACATACTGTAGGTAATGATGCATAGAAGTACTCTATATATACACAAAGATATACAAATAACAAGTAAATGTCATTTAAACATTTTACTTTTTCTAAACAATGTAAAAATTATACCAAAACAAAAAATATTTAATGCATAGTCGAATTTAGGACAATAGTGGTCAAATACAGAAGGCTTGCAGAGGTTTAGCGCTGTATGGATGTTAAAGGTATCCAGCGTCATGTAGTAGGCAGAAATTTAGTCATTTAAGAAGTTTACAAGTTATATGGGTGCATGAAGTTAAAAAAAAAGTTTTCCAACGCAGTGAAAAAGAGCAAGTGCAGCACTTTCTCCCCGCTGTCTGACCAGCGCCGTGCACAATCTTCGTACCTCTAACCACAGTGCAACAGTCGTTGACTTTCAGACGATACACATTTTATTTAGTGGAATGGAGGAAATTGTAAAAGGTCGGAATAATCGTGCTATACCAAAATAAGGCAGAATAACACAACTGAGAGGTAAGGATGGAAAATTTATGTCAAAACGGTCGTGCCTTTTCACTCTCACTGTGCTAATGAGAGAGTAAGTTTCGACTTGGTTCACAGACATGAGGTGATCTTTTTTTCTTGCCACACAGACTTTATCTTATTCCTATTTTTACAGCTACAGCAATTATATCTCCAATTATTGTTTTCCCCTAGAAATTTATTCTAGTCTTGGATCCTGACCATCTTGTTTTTCTAATTTTTTTTCCAGCATATATCAAATTTAGCTACTTGAAACTTCTTCCATAGAGTGTTTAGTGTGTAGGCATATTGTCTAAAAGAGCTCCTCCAGTCTCAAACACCTTCATAGTGCAGAAACCTGCCACACATCTCTACCTCTTGGTCTCCTCACTCCTTTGCTGTGGCCAGAGGTTGCTGTTCTGTAAGGTGCTCTTTAGCCAGATGTGTTATACAGTTGCCTTTGCTTTTGTTGTGGCTGTGGTGGGCTCTCTGTCAGGACCTCCCTCATGAATGCAGGCAGGATTATTGGCTGCAGCAGCCCTGCCTGGGCTCTGCTTGACTGCAGCTGGTGGGTAGAGAGCCCAGCTCAGTCCGTAGAGACCTTTGCCACGGGAACCAGCGCTGGTTGGAACCCTTGACTCTAAAAGAGAGCAAATCCTCACATCCTGCTAACAACTAAAGGAATTCTTCCTGTAGTGTTTCTACAAATCACAATAACAATAATACTGTGTATGTTAGTCAGAATAACATTTTTATTATTGGTCTTGATCTGCAAATAAGTTTGAAGCAACTTCTACATCTTGCCGTTTTCCTTTCTGTTGGGTATATTACGCAGTGGTTCAGGTAAATTTGTGTGAAAACTTCCCTTTCGCTATAATTCCACATCCCTCACCAGTTCCCTACCACCACACTTTGTGTATTTGTTACTTATGTAATTGTGGCAATCTGTACCAGGCCGAGGTCAGCATCACGGCGGACATTTTGATCAAAATGCTTTTTTACATAGTATTTAAAAACAAGTCTCGCTACGGACACTTTTGTCTGGGTATGGAGAACTCGAGGATCCCGGTTCGGCGGAGTTAAAAAGTCCACTAATGTCCACAAGCTATTGAGAAGACTAGCGGCACTGGAGATGTGAATGTCACAGAGATTCGAGCTGATCGTGAAAGTGGAGAGCAGAAGGGCACGAGCAGGACCCTTCATTAGCCTGCAAGCCCTTTAGTTCCTGAATCCTGAATGAATCCTAAAGAAATTCAATGGCTTTACAACCTTCAGCTTCTTCTTGTCCTGTCTGGTGCAAAAACTACGCATCCAGCAGCCATTGGCAAAAGCGGGCGCCAAAGATGAAAGGGTGTTCATTTGTTTCTGGGATTTTGTTGGGCCAAAAAAAGCAGCTTCTACTACTATAACAAATGAAAAATACTACAATAATTAGGCTGCTCAGTTGTTCTAAAATATAAATCACAGACAGCAGTACATTCATATATACATTAGTCGACAGAGACAGCCAGTACCAAATTATAATGACATATAATGAAAGTTAAAAGGAATAATGAGCTATAATCTTCTAATGTTTGACGCAGGGGAATGGTTGCCTTTTCAAGCTTCAGTAGAGCACGGAAAAGCAATCATGATTTGTGGTATAAAAGTTTTCCAAGTCTTTTCTCTTTCCCACATGCACGGCCTAGATTTGTTCACCACCGCTCTTATAGGAACGCCAAGGTCAGTGCATGTCTTATTTCAAAACATACACACAATTATCTTTACAACATGCACTATTTTGACGTATTTATTCTACAGCAGTATAAACTGACACTTTACCTAAGGCCGTGTTTTTAGTAATTTATAAAACATTCATAACAAATAATACATTCACAAGGCATTATAAACATGGCTATAAATATTTATCAAAAGGCATAACACATTATAACCATGTATATTATGCATTATGACTGTCTTATGAAGCTCTCATCTATAATGCACTATAGATACATTTATAATGCAGTACAAAGCATCCTTAATGCTTATACTGACTATTATAATGCATTATAATGCCTCTGGAAGGCATATTTTATGCTGCTATAAGGTACAGGAACTTATTTAATGCATTTTGACTGACGGCCCTCTGTGTTTTTGATCCCTGTATTTGTTGCTTTTGTGCACCTGGCTCCATACTTGCATTCTGCTAGCGACTTCCAGACTGTAATCTGATTGAAGACGCCTGTTTTCCTCTGATAAAACAGTTTTGACGTCTCTCTGCGCCACTTGAACACTGAGACATTTTCCATTCTCTATCAGCTTAATCTTCGCTGTCTACATGTTAATACTTTTCACGCTGTTTTGCACTTATTTGTGGTTTACACGAATTTTGGGTATTTTAGCCGAAATTTGATGAGGATATTACATAATATTTAGCAGAAACAGTAAATAAAATAACCCCCCGTTAAAAGAATTTATTTCATTGATCAAGGTATTTGGGACTAAGTTGAATTTTAAATGAAAATTTAAAATAGCCGTATTTAGTGTTTAATGTGATTTTTACATAATGTTTTTCCATAAAATTCTACATTTAAATTTCTCAAGGCATATCATCTCAAGTGTTTTATTGTAATTATGTTACTGAAATTGTATTACAGATATATCTTTATTATATCAAAGGTATTAATGCCCAATACAATTTCAGTTAGGCAATTACAATTTAAACGGCACTTTGGAGCCTGTCGCCCAGGTACTTCGTCTCACTGCCTGGTAAATGCGTTTTGGCATCTCCCTGACATGGTGCTAAAGACCTGCAGTTGTCTGTTGTAGAAGCCATGGAATGCTGAAGAGACACCTGCAGTAGAGCGCGGAGCTCTACGATGAGGAGAAGCCGTGAGGGGGCGGATGCTCAGCTTCCTGTTTTGCGGCTGTGTTCCTTCGCGCCCGACAGTCCTAGTTAATGCAGTGCAACGCAAAACGCTTGGTTTCTCAGCGCATCGTGTGCAACACAGAAAAACATGCCATGTGCTCTAGCTACCAGCAAGGCAAGACCATGCCTTTGATAATAGCGGAAAGTTCCCACCGGGGTTGTTTTTACAGTCTCACATGCAACTTTGTCACAATCTGCTAAACATCCATGTAAAAGTCAACTTAGTGAATGAAAGGTTTTGCTTAATTTCTGTATTTCTGACAGCTCGTCTGCGTCTCTTTTGCTCCCCCTCCCACATTTTATCCAGGCATAGCGGTGAGCGGAATACACGTCCATCATATTCATTGTGCACCAACGTATCCCCAGCACAGACAAGCCCATTCCTCTGCTGAGGTGCAGCCTCTCCGCACTCCTGACGGACAGAGACCCTGACTGACAGTCACGCAGGCTCGCTATGATAGACCAAGCCTCTGAGCTGCCCTTCTACTATGGCAGCATCAGCCGCGCCGACGCGGAGGAGCAGCTGAAGCTGGCAGGGATGTCGGACGGGCTCTTCTTGCTGCGACAGTGCCTGCGCAGCCTGGGCGGCTACGTGCTGTCCATCGTGTGGAACCTGCAGTTCTATCACTACTCCGTGGAGAAGCAGCTCAACGGCACCTATTGCATCTCAGGCGGCAAGGCGCACTGCGGCCCAGCTGAGCTCTGCGAGTACTACAGCAAGGACGCAGACGGGCTGGTGTGCAGCCTGCGCAAGCCGTGCCTGCGCAACCCCGACATACCCATCCGCCTGGGCATCTTCGACAGCCTGAGGGACAACATGATGCGCGAGTACGTGCGGCATACCTGGAACCTGGAGGTGAGGCCTCTTCCCCACTGATGCGTTGCTGCTGCATCGCTGCTGTGTCACTTAGGGATCCCCCTCATCCAGCTGCTTTGCCTGGTGCAACGGTGGCCATTTTTAACGAGTCGCAAAGTGAAAATTCGTACTTGTAGTTACTGGTCCAAGCTGACGTGGCACCCCAGGCATTGGCTGCTGTGCCATCAACTGCCGCGAATATCACCCCCCCCCCCCCCCGTCCGAGGCAAACTGAAAATGACTGTCCCAAGCAGCCGCCTATATTGCCAAAAAGATTGACCAGATTGGAGTAGCTATCAGGATTGACTGGGATCCCCTCCCATGCCCTGGAATTTCTGGGATAGGGTCCATGCATATGGCGACCATCTACCCTGCATGGAAGATGGATGGCTGGATTATCAGAGCAGAAATATAGATGGCAAAATAATTCATCCATTTTCTGTAACCGCTGGTCCCACTCAGGGTTGCCGGGGGCTCAGAGCAAATCCCGGAGGGGACGCAAGGCAGATGGCAAAATAATGAACACGCAAATATACCAAGTTATTAATTCTCGCTCTTACACTGAAGGTACAAAACCCAAGTCAGAGGAGGACTCTGCCCCCTACTGGATTTGTTCTGTCCATCATTCGTATGTCGTTCCACTTACCCGTCTTCAGGGGAGTAGCTGGATATAGGCCACTGTGGCCACCCTAATAAGGCTGACACTTTTACAATAGATATAATTCGGTGGAGGTGTGTTTCCCAAGCATGTAAATGATCATTTTTCATATTCAGGGGCACATATAAAGTGCTGCCCCCCCCAAATCTGCCAGGTTCCCCATGTCCCTGCGACGCGCCTGACTGTCTTTATGGGTGGGGTGTGATTTGTCCTCAGGGCGAGGCCATGGAGCAGGCCATCATCAGCCAGGCCCCGCAGCTCGAGAAGCTGATCGCCACCACTGCCCACGAGAAGATGCCTTGGTACCATGGCAAGATCTCGCGCATGGAGGGCGAGCGTCGCCTTTACTCCGGGGTGCAGCCCGACGGAAAATTCTTGTGAGCTCAATAATAATAATAATAATCCTTTGTTTGCCATTTGCACAAGTATGATTACAGGCACATTAAAGTTTTTCTCTCCACCTGCCCCGTCTTGCTCTCCATAGCTTGGGGCTCACAGCACAGGGTCAGGCAACATTTGGTGCCCCTGGACCTGGGGGGGGGTTAAGGGCCTTGCTCAAGGGCCCACAAACACGTGACATTTTTGCCGATGCCGAGATCTGAGCAGTGATTTTCCGATTACAGGCACAGATACTTAGCCCGCCGAGCCACTCACCTCCTTCGAGGCTTGTTACATAACGCCTCACTTCCTCTCAATCTTAGGTCAAGCACAACTTGTTTACGAGGTTGTGCAACAACACTGTCACGCTTTTAGCTGAACACACCACTCTCTGTCCAAGCTGACTTTCATAGGCTATGAACCCATCATACACAGATATAGCTGCTTTCAAATACGTTCACTGTTTTAGGGTACAACAGAAAGTCCCTACTGGCAAGTGGTCACAAGTCAACCTACCTGACCTATACTCTGCCCATTTCTTTCAAAAGCATTGGAACTCGACATTGCCAGTTAGCATTATCTGCTAGTCACAGTGTCCACAAGTCAGCTTATCCAGCCAGCAAGTGCTGTGTGAAAATCATCTACATTTCACTCCTGCCTATCTATTGCCATTCAGAGTGAGAGAGAGAGAAGAATCTGGGACCTTCGCCCTTTCGATCATGTACGGCAAAACCGTCTATCATTACCAGATTCTGCTGGACAAGTCAGGGAAGTATTCTATGCCGGAGGGAACCAAGTTCGATACTGTTTGGCAGGTAAAATTCTCCGCCTTCATTAATCACAAATGATGAACGTGCCTGTGAGCCCACCGCTGACCTTGCTGCCTGGCCCCCCATGCCCATCCTCTAGCTGGTGGAGTATCTGAAGCTGAAGCTGGACGGCGTGGTGACGATTCTGCGGGAACCCTGCGTGAACCCCAACTGCACCGGTACCAGCGCCTGCTTTGGTTTGACCCATCTTTCGCTTTTAGACCACCGGATCTGCTACCGCTGTCCTACAAACGTTTTACTGATAAATGCCATGAGATTCAGCCAGATTTTCTAGAACACCATAGCTAAAGCAATTATCAGTGCTTGTTATTAAAATGAACCATGCTCACGTCGAGCCTTTCCTGTTTTTTTTTTCTCAAACTGATGCAGACGTTCCTGTTTTACCCACCGCAGTAAGTATTGGTGCCATGCAGATACGCTTTCCATTGGCATTGTGACAGTAAAGAGTGCATGAATAACCCAACGTCAAACCTTTCTCGCTCACTACAGAGACGGCTTCGTCCCAATGGATACACGCCGGCACCTGGAAGTCAGTTCCATACCCCGTCTCACCCTCAAATAACGTGAACCCCCGTATCTATTTTCTGGCTTTCACCCAATCGCCGCTGGGCACAATTACTCAGACAGACTTTCGTATAGCAGTTCATCTTAGGCCGTCTGTCTTATTTGCAATTCTTATATAAATAATTGGTAACCAACTGAAATAAATCTGTATAGGAATATCACCAATAGCAATCACATGGCTAGCTCAACACTGTTCCACGCATGGACTTATTATGTTAATGAATATAAAACATAATATAAAAAAAATAACAATATAAACATAAGGTCCTTATGGGGAGCTTTTATTTATAAGTACAATAGCTGAGCTGTTCTCAGTGTCTAACCAGCAATAATATTACACAGCTTCCATTCATGTGTCCACGTCTCCTAGAGGACAGCTCATTCGTCAGACTGATTTGCTTTGTGTGGCATCACTTGGTAATGCAGAAGAGCTTGAGATGTAGTTGTGTGTCCATGTGTAAATCGGCTTATGTATAGCACATTTCTTAGAAACTGGCTTGGAAAAACGAAATTCCAAAAGGGTGGTATATTACTCCCTTAAAATATTAATGTAAAAAGTGTGTCTTCTTATGAAGAGGTCTCGAAAAATGTCCATGCATAGTTGCATTAAAAATCCCCCAAAACCCTCTTAAGTAACCGGCAGAGGAATCGGTGTTGAGCTTGACCTCCAGAGGCAGCCAGCAGGCTCACGCTCCCATTCAGGAGACTCACAGGTGGCTGTGATTCCCGCTCGCTCTCCAGTTCCCGCCGCTGCTGCTCCTATCGACCGGCGTCAGATGCCGATGGACACCAGTGTGTACGAGAGTCCCTACAGCGACCCTGAGGCTCTGAAGGAGAAGAAGCTGTTCCTCAAGAGGGACCAGCTGATGATCGACGAGGTGGAGCTGGGATCAGGCAACTTTGGCTGCGTCAGGAAAGGGGTGTATAAGATGAAAAAGTGAGGAGGGGTGGAGATGTGCGTTGTGGGGGGGGGGTTGTTTGACTACAGTAGTAATAAATATATATACAGGAAGTAGGTAAAAATGTGGATCAGACAAGCATGATCCATTTAACCTAGAAGAAGACATTACGTGTTTTGTGCTTACATATACAACTGTAGTCTTTAAGGGGATGAGATTTAGAACATATCTAGTGAGTGCCTGATTTATACCTGAAATACCTAGAGGTGCCACTCTACTTATGTACTGACTCTATAAAAGAAATGAACACTAAGGTACCTAACACTAACACTTCTTTGCCACAGTTTAATTCTCACTCGGCCTGACAGACTGGTGTTGATTGCTCCTTGTTATTTTCCACGCCAAGCCACTAATTTGTCCTTCTCTATATGTTCCTCCAGGAAGCAAATCGACGTAGCTATCAAGGTGCTAAAGAACGAAAATGAGAAGTCGGTGAAGGACGAAATGATGAAGGAGGCAGAGATCATGCACCAGCTGGACAATCCTTACATCGTTCGCATGATCGGGCTCTGTGAGGCAGAGCATCTCATGTTGGTGATGGAAATGGCACCTGCCGGGCCACTCAACAAGTTCCTGTCCACAAAGAAGTGAGTCCCACCTGCTAATCATGCAACTGAATCATGCCTGAACCATTTGCCGTTTACCATTTAAAGCTGCAGTCAGTTTTATTCTATATCACGGTTGACCACGAAAAAAAGTAGATTTTTAATATATCAGTTTAAACGTAGTTTACTATAATTACGTTGGTCGCATCTGTTACTGATAATATGTTTGCCCAGTTGCACACGGCCTGATTTCTTCAAGAGACTGACATGTTTGAGTCTGGTATGGTGCTGTCATGAATGACCAAGCATCTGCAAGAACCTTCCCAGCAGTATTATTCTGAGTTTCAGGCAGACTTTGGTTTCTTTAAAGTAAACCGGCATCTAGACATGAGAATAGCTATCCGCTTGAGTTCACGGCGCAATTTCAGTAGAGCAGGGAAGCAGAATTTGCTTTAGGATTTTTTGCTTTGTATTAGTAACACTGCAAACACGATTAGGAGAGGTGTATGGGAAAGATAAGGCAATGTATCTATCAGCGTGTCTGGATAACAAAACCTAAGAGATGCTCAATTGCACCGAAAAAATAGATATGTAAAATAAATTAAAAATTTTAAATAGGACTGCATCATAACAATCATGATGAAATAAATTCCATGTTCTCTACTACCAAGTACAGTCACATATCCGTAACGATAAACCCATAGCGTTAAACACACCTATAGCTGTTTCTTTCTTTTAGCCTGGCCTGAATATCCTGACAAAAACGTCTTAAATGTCACACGGAGATTAACTTGTGGAGGTGGTTTCTCACTTGTGTACACACAGTCAGATGATAGTCTCACAGGAGACAGCATGTTGGATGTGTTTGCAGCAACATATCCGAACTCGGTATAACAGAGCCGACAGACAGTCTTGGTCGTAGTTAGTCTCTCCAGTGTTTGTGTAATTTATTGGGAAGTCAAAATGTTCCCCGACTTCTGATTTAAGTGACGTTGGAGGATCTTTGAACTCTGTAGCACTAGCGCTAACCAACTCTCAGCCGACAGACAGTCTTGGTCGTAGTTAGTCTCTCCAGTGTTTGTGTAATTTATTGGGAAGTCAAAATGTTCCCCGACTTCTGATTTAAGTGACGTTGGAGGATCTTTGAACTCTGTAGCACTAGCGCTAACCAACTCTCAGCCACAATTACCATAATATTTTCCATGTTGAGCATCTACTCATGAATTTAGGTTTCACCCGTGTCAAGAAATGTACTCATTTGTTTCGCTGAGCGTACCGAACTGAAAAGGATGTAACTGAACCGCACATGGCGGATAACTGTACTATTACAGCCCTTGTCTTTAAATGCGGAACCTGAAATGCTCTTTAGCAAAAACTATTTAAAAATCACAATGCTTATAGAATTCGAAGGACCCGCCACTAGTGCTTACCTATGAGCACTATTACACATTTATTTGTGTAGAAATGCTTTTATCCAGAGTGACATACAGATGAGAAAGCAGGTAAAGGTTTTGGGTGAAGCCCTCGATTTTGACTTTAAGCATTGAGTTCCACAGTAATAAGCTGGAGGTACGGTGCAGGGAGATAGCTGCATAAGTGCTACCACGCAGAAGTATGAATGAAAAGGAGAGATAGTAATGTCTACAGCAGGGGCAGGCAACCCTAATCCTAGAGTGCTGGTGTCCTGCAGGTTTTCTAACCTACTTGGTCTCTGATGAACCACAACTGATCAGGCAGGTAGCAAAGGTGGGTTATTCAGGTCCAGAGAGTAAAACTCCAGACCAAGATTTTGTTTCAAACATCCAGTTCAGTACTCTGTGACTGTGACTCTTTATACTCAACTGGTTGGTTGAAACAAAACCTTGGTATTGACTTCTACTCTCTGGACCTAAATTACCTACCTCTGGCTCATAGTAACTCATCAAGTAGGATTGAAAACCTGCCGGATACCAGCACCTCAGGATCAGGGTCACCTTCCACCGGCTTATAGGAACTAGCAAAGTTACTGTTGGTCCAGTCATGTGTGGTGTCTCTTTAATTCTCAGAGAGCAACTCAACATGGAGAACGTGGTGGAGCTAATGCACCAGGTCTCCTTGGGCATGTTGTATTTGGAAGAAAACAACTTTGTGCACAGGGACCTGGCCGCACGTAACGTTCTGCTGGTGAACCAGCACTACGCCAAGATCAGTGACTTCGGCCTCTCCAAGGCCCTGGGAGCCAACGACAGCTATTACAAGGTGCGGCCACAAGGCGGGGTTGTCGTCTCTTTTCCCCGACGTTCTATTTTGTTCTACGTGTACTTCCCGTCTTTGCTGTCCTAACCTGAAAAAAGAATTGCCTTCCTTTGTCCTCCATCGGAACACGCGTGGACGCATGTGTAGGCTCGCACAGCAGGGAAGTGGCCGTTGAAGTGGTACGCCCCGGAGTGCATCAACTTCCACAAGTTCTCCAGCAAGAGTGATGTCTGGAGTTTCGGCATCACCATGTGGGAAGCCTTTTCTTATGGGGGGAAACCTTATAAGGTATGGCTATGAAAGTACGAGCTAACAGTAAATAACTCAACATATCTTATATTAATATAAGCAGTTGCCACTTTGTCCTTCGCGGTTTCAAAATATCGTGGGGTCAGCATTAGATGGGAATTTTTTTGAGAGTTTTGCAAAAGCTGCAGATGACACGCGAAGGCCAGCAGACGACATATAAAATGTTTAGTGATTCATGCATAGATACATGTAGGGTGCTGGTTTGCGTGTTTACGGCACCCCTCGCAGTGAAGTCTCACAGTGATCTTTGTGTCTCACAGTGGTATCTCATGTGTGTGTGTGTGTGTGTGTGTGCATATATATATATATATATAATTTAAAATTTTGCCAGGTGTCCCATTATCACAATACTCACCCAATATGTATATAAAATATATGTAATATATGTATCTATATAAAATCTTGATGATTCTTGGTGACTCTTGGTGACTCTTGATGATTCTTGGTGACTCTTGGTGATTCTTGGTGACTCTTGGTGATTCTTGGTGACTCTTGCCCTTGCCTTTGACAGAAAATGAAGGGTCCTGAGGTCATCAGTTTCATAGAGAGTGGGACTCGCATGGATTGTCCCACTGGGTGTCCAGACGTGATGTATGCTCTGATGAAAGACTGCTGGACATACAAGTGAGACCCTTTGTTAACCTTTCATTGTATTGACATGTAGGCTGATTCATGCTTCCATATCATTCATCAATTGCAGAGAGACTCTTCGTAATGATTTTGATTGAAACAGAATGAATGTCTAATGAAGTACAGTCAGTTCTGCTACAATGTGTGACATCACACCATGAATCGATTGATATATTAGTACCGAAGTCCAATGCAACGCAGAATCGCATTTGTATTTGTGCAACTTTTAGTTGCAGAGAAAAGCACTACTCAAACTACAACACGATACAGTCTTAGCAAGAAATACTACTTGCATGTAAAAATAGCTAATCCAAGTAAACGATAGTGGTGTCTGATTCATGCATGAATCATTCTTTTGAACCGATTCTTTTCAGTCCCTGGAAAAATTGCAGTGTGAAAATTCAGGGAATACTGTAAACTTCTTTGACAGTTTTACTATGTACTTTCACAGTTCCACTATGAAACGTTCATAGTTGAACTGTAAACTACAGTATAAGAATAATTAAGGTATAACTGTAAACATCACAGTTTTACTGTGAACTTTCACTGTGCATTTTTTGTCTTGGGTGAATCGGTCAATCCAGTTTTCATATCTAAAAGACTCAAGCTTTTTGAACATCCGTGCATTGCACAGGTTAAAATGATAGATTCTAAAAATCTGAAAATATTTGATAAATTATCATATAAAAACCATGGCCATCCACATGCCGTAATCCGTTGTCTTTGTGCTGTGTACGCGCCCGCCCGCACGGTTGCCTTCCGCATGCCGTAATCCGTTGTCTTTGTGCTGTGTATGCGCCCGCCTGCACGGTGGCCCTCAACATGCCGTAATCTGTTGTCTTTGTGCTATGTACGTGCCCGTCCTCACGGTTGCCCTCCGCATGCCGTAATCCGTTGTCTGTGCTATGTACACGCCCGCCTGCACGGTGGCCCTCAACATGCCGTAATCCGTTGTCTTTGTGCTATGTACACGCCCGCCCGCACGGTTGCCCTCCGCATGCCGTAATCCGTTGTCTTTGTGCTATGTACGCGCCCGCCCGCACGGTGGCCCTCCACATGCCGTAGTCCATTGTCTTTGTGCTGTGTACGCGCCCGGCCGCACGACGGCCCTCCGCATGCCGTAGTCTGTTGTCTTTGTGCTATGTACGCACCTGTCCGCACGGTTGCCCTCCGCATGCCATAATCCATTGTCTTTGTGCTGTGTACGCGTCCGGCCGCACGGTGGCTACTCCTGAGTCTCGGCTATCGACAAGTTAGTGAGTTAGACACGTTTACTTGAAGTTACTTGACAATTCTCATGAGACCCAAAAGACCCATAAGAGATGTTTATGATGTAATTTCTTAATGTATTACTATTGTTTGTTATTTAAAATGGATATAATTATATTATTGGCTACTGGTATCACTGTCTTTTTATTTAATTCATTTTTTTGGCCTAAGTTACTAAATTTTGGAGTTGCATTCCCCTAACTCTGTTTTACCCACTGGATATGTGCCCTTTACTATGCAATTGCAGTGAAAGCAAGGTTTTTGACGAAGGTATTAATTGTGTTGTAGCAGGACTGACTGTATGATGAATGAATGTGGCAATGAATTGAAATCTCAACCTTTTACCTCCAGGCATGAAGAGAGGCCTGGTTTTGTCAAGGTCGAGGAACGCATGCGGACATACTACTACTCCATATCCAAAAAGACCACTGCAAGCACTGAGGCAGGAGCTTCTGCTGAAGCAGCGGAACCATAGACCAGGACTTAGAGCCAGTCTGGCTTTTGGCCTGTCCACCAATTACGCAGCTTGATGCTATGATTAGCCTGTTCTTCAGCTGTAACCTATGCTGTGTAAAACTGTAGCATTGGCTAGACCAACGAACGCTGTGTTGATTGAACAGAAGGCTTGTGCATTCAATGAAAGTTCTATTTGTTTTGTCCGTACTTATTATGGGGTGGTAAAGGTGACTTGGTTAGGCATTGAGTAAGGCTAAGGAACAAAATGTATTGTGAATTGGTAATCTCAGTGTTTTAATGTTATATTGTTTCAAGCAGTTTTGCTAAGACCGACCTAGCAGGAGAATAAGTGTAAATGAAGTTTATTGACAGTTCAAATACTTCTCTTTCACAAAATGTCAGTAAAATTATTACCTATTAACTTACAAGTGTTGTAACAGCGACATCTGCTGGTCGATAATGAAGAATTGCACCTTAGCAACAGGCAAACTATACTGTACAGCATTGCTTTTAGTGTCCATCCATATTTGTAGGATGAATGTTGATGAACGAATCGAATATTTACTGTATTATGAATGTGCATTATAGGTATTTTAAGGTAGGACCAATAATCTCCTGTAATAGATTATCCGAAATAAAAACTTAATCTTTATTAGTGTGCTGACAGCATTGCGTAAGAAAGGTGTTGCTTTTTGGTAAAAAAAAAAAAAACTTTGACAACTGTAGTCCAGAATTCATAAATCGCTCTAATGTTGCTATTTTTATATTTGAGCTGTTTTAATTAGATGGGTACGTTTGCATTTGTTTTCAAGTTTTTTTCTTGTATTTGATAACATTTAAATAAAATGCTTAAATTTGTGTATTTCGTTCGCATAATGTTTCGTTCATTTAAACTACAGAATTCCACCCTAAGCGAATTTGTATCCTGCTATATCACAATCTGTAGCACCGGCTATGTATGTAAAATTTGGTTGTTCTATCTACGTGGCGCAGACACTGTAGCGTCCTCGTACAGTCCAAGGACATATGCGGGTAAGTTAGCTCGAGCCTCGAATCTACCCATGATATGTGATTCGGGATATTACAGTGTGGGCTTTGGTTCACCGAGATTCCGCGTTGAAGAAGCTAGTACAACTATCGTGGATGGATGGATATGTGAGCCCATGAAGGACACATTTTGACTAATAAATTAGTTAGGTTTCAACACTGATACATAAATGAAACAATTTCCTAGAGTACCTAAGTATCATTAACCGGATTTGAAAATGTAAGAGTAATTTCCGCTTTGATCATAAATCGTTTAATCAATTTTCACAGCAAAGGAACTGCAAATGGAGATAAATTTCACAGTAATGAGAAATGTAGCCCACGAAATCAAGAGTGATGTGCATGGGGTATCAATATTTTGGATTTCTAAATTGTTACTTTACTGGAAGCACATCTGTTGCCGAGCCTGGGACTGAGCGTCGCACAACTAGCAGAGGCACACAGACCCCCGATGCCCGCCCGCAGCCCTCCGCCCTTCCTGCGCCCTCCCTTACCACCCAGAAGGGCGGCAGCAGAGGCACACAGCCCCGCGATGCCCGCCCTCCGCCCTTCCTGCGCCCTCCTCTACCACCCAGCAGGGCAGCAGCAGAGGCACACAGCCCCGGGATACCCGCCCGCAGCCCCCCGCCCTTGCTGCGCCCTCCCCTACCACGCAGCAGGGCGGCAGCAGAGGCACACAGCCCCGGGATGCCCGCCCGCAGCCCTCCGCCCTTCCTGCGCCCTCCCCTATACACGCAGCAGGGCGGAGTGCCTTGACGTTCCGTTGCAGGAAACATTAGGAGTCGTCTTTTGACCAAGTTTGCAGGAAGAGTCGGGCATTGCCCTTTATTGTATGCACTGTATTTTACAGTGTTATTGTAGCCATCTGTATGTTACTAATAAGAGCTGAGGATAGGGCGGTCATTTGTTAGAGAGGGATAAACGTCGTTTTCGGAGGGAGGAGATCGCGAAGCGGAACAAGAGTCTCTGACTTCCCCGGTAAGTTCGGGCAAAGTGGCCGCGGGCTCGGTACTTTCCTCGCTTCGCATATCCTCTGCTTGCCACCTTACTCGTAAATATTGATGTACAGCTCGGTCCGATCGGCAGAGAGACACGAATAGCCCCGTTATGTAATTTGCTAAATGGGCTTTGAAAGCGGGTCGATCTCGGTGGCTGCGGGGGAATTCGGGGGAAAACCTGCTTTCACTTTTATGCCTGTTTTTACTGCAGCTTCCAATGTAACACTGATACGGGCAAAGCAGACGGCGCAGAACAAAGCACGTACAGGTAGCTGAAGTCCGCTCTTTCTAAGCGCGGATGGGCGGTTGCGCCATGTTACAATGTTACGGCAGATGGCTGGTTAATAAAACCCCGCGTCCGCACGGCAGGCTGAAACGTACAGCCCGCCTGCTTCGTTACGGAAAGGAAGTAGGGCATTTTATTTAGCAGGTGGTGATGAGGATGGTCGACAAACGTCCGTAAAGTACGGGCGCCGTCCGATTGCTGCCTGAGCGGAGACGGGCGCGGATCGCGGCGTTTGGGAGCCGCTCGCTGGGGCATGAGCTGCGTGTCCCATTGTTCGGGCTAAACCGAAAGAAATGTGTCGCCGGATGGCGGGGATCGGCCAGGTCCGAATTGATGGACCGTTCCGTTACGCATCATGGTCGGCGGATCAGGCGGGTGGGGGGGTTACTGACATACATCGCTACTCAGCCGAACTTCCTGGAACTTTTCCGCTATGAGCTACAGCGCTGTGCGCCTCGCCATTATAATGAAATGCAAGGTCATGTTTTAAGCATTGTAAAAATAAGTCGGTAATATTCAGCGGACACCTTATCTTTTATAAATGCATCCGACGCTGTCATTCTTACGTCATTAGTCCGACGTGTTTGTATGAAGTATACTCTGTATGATTAAATTTTGAAAGTCAACGTGCCGATGATGGCGCAATTAAATTGCTTCTAGGCATAAAGCCTTACTGTCTTTTTTTAGTATCTATTGGGTGGTCTGGTATAGTGTAATTCAGGGTCTCTGATCTATATACTGAACGCACCAGTTCTGTTGGCTGTTTCTTCTGTGGCGTCAGGGCTGCCAACTTTGGTCAGCTGGCTGGAGTGAGATTTTCAATTCGAGACAAGTCTGCACACACATTCACACGCATTTGCATGTATGGAAGAGTTTTATTACCTTGTAAATAGTCTGTGGGGTTTGCAAACTACTACGACGCTTTTGATGTCGATAATTTTAGGTTTATAAAGCAATAATAAAGATTTGCCGGAAGATGTCTTGTGTGAGAGTCTGAAAGCGTGAGTGTCACGCCAGATGTGTGAGAGTCGGCAATCCTGCAACATACATTAACATTTACACAATAAGACATTTGGACAGAGAAAGCGTTTTTATTTATATAGCAGATGTGGAGATCTGAAGTAGCATACGAGTAAGTATCAGAACACAGGACCAGGCAGTTCCTGCAGTATTTATAGTTGAGGGTCTTTCTCAAGCCTGTTTCCTGGTAATTTCAAAGAACTTATTCATAGCTGTTGTGGTGCACAGGGCCATGTGGGTTTGCTTCATAGACATTGGTTTTATTGCATGTTTAGAATTTAGAATTAGGTGATCAGTCATTGTTGACACACCAACAACGCGCAACAACGAAATGTGTCCTCTGCATTTAACCCATATGTGAGTTTTTGTTACATAGCAGGGGGCAGCTAATTCAGCGCCCGGGGAGCAGTGCTTGGGGGCGGTACCTTGCTCAGGGTACCTCAATGGTGCCTTGCTGGTCGGGGATTCGAACCTGCAATCTTTCAATTACAAGTGCGCTTCCTTAACCATCAAGCCACCACTGCCCATTTAAGTGACCTGATTCTCTCTCTACCATGCTTTTTTTGTAACAGTTGGAAACAAGCATCTGTCTCTGTGGAATAACATGCTTGTTCCTCCTCTCTGCAGCTCCATCTGCACCAGGCACCTTCTCTGTCACCTCTGCTCTGGCCTTGCTTGCTTCCACTTTCTCGGACAGGTTCCAAGACCTTCAAGAGTGAAAACGGCTGTGTGTTCTTCATGCGAAGCTGGGACCTGCACCCCCTCATTCCTTGCCGTGTTTATTTTTGCGTTTGACATTAAAGTAGAAATTGGGGCGACTGGAATAGTGTAAAAGCCAGACAAACGGAGTGTAGTCCGCTTTCGTCTGCCGCCATGTCTCTGGCACTGAAACAAGTCTTCAACAAGGACAGGACATTCCGGCCCAAGCGTAGGTTTGAGCCGGGAACGCAGCGGTTTGAGCTTCACAAGAAGGCACAGGCCTCATTGAATGCCGGTCTGGACCTGAAGCAGGCCGTACAGCTGCCCCATGGCGAGGGTCTCAACGACTGGGTGGCCGTGCACGTGGTGGACTTCTTCAATCGCATCAATCTCATCTATGGCACCATCAGCGACTCCTGCACGGACCAGTCCTGTCCGATTATGTCCGGCGGGCCCAAGTATGAGTACCGCTGGCAAGATGAGCAGAAGTACAAGAAGCCCACAGCCCTGTCCGCCCCCCGCTACATGAACCTGCTGATGGATTGGATAGAGGTACAGATCAACAACGAGAACATCTTCCCCACCAATGTTGGTAAGAGCACTTAATTGCATACGTATAATTCAACAGAGCATACAGTCCTAGTCAAACCATCAGGCGATATACGTGGCCACCTAAGAGGCCATCTTCTGAGGGAACATTGACTTAGAAAGTGGTCCTTGCGCCCTCTGGGCTGCCTGCACAGAAAAGCTATTCCTGGGTGGGGGGTGGGGCAGCTCCACATGGGCTTCGACCAGCAGTGACAGCTTATAAACAAATAGGCAATTCCACATCATCTGTAATTTCCGTCACCAATATGTCATGCATTACGGTAAAAACTAGCCTAGTACAATCTATATCATTCCTTCCCCCCCCAGCTGTTATGGCCTTTTCCAGTCAGGGTTTCCAATAACGGTCGTACCAGCATATTAACACCCAGCAAAATCATTTCAATACTATACGGATGTTTACGTGCACCCACTATTTGATAAGCAGATTAATAGCTGGCCTGAAATATTAATGAGGTGTATTTTGATCTCCAACAATTAGTAATATGAATAAATTCAGTGTATCTTTATGCTATTAAATTCCGTTAGCGGAGCGCGCCACATGCGGCTGTTTTGGCAAAGCATGGGAGCGATAAGCACTGAAGTGGCAGTGAAGAAAATGACAGCTGAACAGCCACAACATGTTTAAAAGAGGAGATACTGTGGTTAAACAAGGCAAAAAGGCGTTGATGGTGTGGTGGTGCTGTTTGCAGTTTAAAGCCCGACATGTTTATTAAACATTAGGATATCCTGAATCCATACAGATTACTAACTTTTGGACGTAACAGTATGTCTTAACATTTTAGGTGCACTACTACTCTGCTAACCAAACTGTGGGCATAAGCAGGCCTAAACATCACTATAGTATTGAAACGCTGGGCCGGATCAATTTTGTTGGTACGACTGTTATCTAAAGCCCTGTCCAGTGCACTGGACCTTCTAACAATATCATAATATAATTTTTTAGCAGACATCCCAGGGCTAATTTGACCTCAACTTCCATTATTGAAGGTTCTACCTCATCAAATATATCTTGGTTGTTGATGTTGTATTTCACAGTCTCTGGCTTTCAGTTTGCCTGTTTGAGGTTGGGATTTTTTAATCTCGTTGCTGTTTGGAATTACTGATTCAGAAGTTTTCAGAGAGATTTAAGATGGCATTTTCTGTCGTGCCTTCTGTCATCCAGTTTAACATCTAGGCTTTTTCTTGTTTCATTCCTCTTGGATGATTTCTTTGAATTACAACCACGGTTCCTTGGTTCTCTATCAGGTAGGTCCAGCATTGGTTTCTGGTGTTTTCTTAGGAGGAAATGGCTATATTCTCCATGTCTTCTTGAAAGTAGGATGGCCATGTTGTTCTTTGACTTCACTTGCTGCTTTCACATAAGGAGTTTGTGGTTTGAGCCACAATTTCCCCCAGGCTAATTTCATCAAGCTCTTCCATTGTTCAGTACGGGACTGAAGAGGTCATCGGATTTGCCAGAGCTGATTATCTCACCAGCTTCATTTCTGTTTCCAGGTCCATTATGGTATTTTCCTATCTTCTCCAACTTGTATTCATCAATAGTACAGTCGAGCCTTCCACATGGTGGGGGTTATGGGTGCAGGCCCCCCGCAATGTGGAAAAACCACCTAAAGTTTTTTGGTCCCCTTGGCCAGCAAAACGAAGCTTTTCAGATTTTCATACAGTGTAGTGCACTAAAATGGTACAAAAAGATACAAAAAAAAGCGAGACACAAAGATGACTGTGAGATCATTGCGAGGTTTCACATGAGGCCACCGTAAACACGCTTCGCATCTGCCAAACCAGCACTGCACATATCTTATCCATTTATGAACTGATAAACTTCGTGTGTCTGTGGCTTTTGCAAAGCTCTCAAACACCCATTCAATTTCTTATGCTGACTGCACGATATATATCGAAACTGCGATGGGGAAAGAGCTGACTGCATATGTCTGCATGTCCTGATTATTTCAGCTTGAACTTTGTAAAATATTTCAAGTGGTTCTTATTAACATCAGTTGTTGGGGCATAAACCTGTATAACTTTATTGAAGGGGTGTCCATGAAATTGAATAAATATCAGTCTGCCTTCCAGAGCATTGTATCGATTTACAGTCTTTTCTTGTCCATTTACAGAGTAGTAAACACTGCGTTTGCCTGACTGAAAGTGTCTTAGTCCTATACAGTTAGATTTTCTAATGCCTAGGACGCTAGTTTGTAAGCGCCATCATCGGCACGTTGACTTTCAAAGCGCTTCTAACCAACTGCGTCATAAACACCGGCTGTACTCGGAAGGATCCTTGGCTCTTAGTAACATATTGAGTGCCTTCTAATCCGAGGGGCCATCTTCTAGTGGTGATACCATTAATTATTCTGTTTCCACCACCCGTCAGGTTTTCTTGTCAGGATACAGAAGTGATTTATTATGGGCTGATTCCATGCAGTTTGAAATGGTGTGTTTGCTGTCGTTACTATGCATCATTACTGCTAACAGACCTATGTCGCTGCTGTCTAATGTATGATGCATGGCAATTGTCCTCATTTTGAAGGCACGGTTTCATGAGGAGAAGTTTACATTATGAATAATTATGATGAATGGTTAATTGACTTTTTTTTTTTTTTTTTTTTTAATCTCTTTAAGGTACACCTTTTCCCAAAAACTTCATGCAAGTAGCGAAGAAGATCCTGTCTCGCCTGTTCCGGGTCTTTGTACACGTCTACATCCATCACTTTGACCGCGTGAGCCAGCTGGGCGCAGAAGCTCACGTCAATACCTGTTACAAGCATTTCTACTACTTTGTCACGGAGTTCGGCCTCATAGACCACAAAGAGCTGGAACCGCTGGTGAGAGAGAGACCGCTCTGAATCAACATACGGTTTGGGTTTCTTTTACCAATAATGGTGTGCAGAGGTGTAGAGGGTGTTTGCGTTTGTTCAAAGTGTGGGACTATCTAACACTTTAGAGTAGTGGGAGACAACAGTCAGATGGATATAGCATTTTGCACACAAACTCTGATACACTTTGCAGTCAATGATGGGGTAGAAATTTTAGTCCTTTTTTGAGGAAGCAAAACCATTATGATGGTTCTGGGACAACCTAGAAACAAAGATGAGGTCCGCCCCCACCCCCCCGGAAGATAAAAGTTTGTTTCCTGTTTAATGTAAGCTTTATAAATCTCAATAGAAACTTCCAACAAAGACTGGAGGAAAAAAATTCTTCTGGGGAAAAGTTATGGAAGTAGAAGACATATTGAGTTCATATGCAAAACTATTGTGACACATAACAACAATTCTCCGAAAAGACCTGAAGTATATATATCTAAAAAGAAAAATCACATATGACTGGAACTGGGCTTCTCTGTCTTGTTTCTCACACAGAAGGAAATGACGTCTCGGATGTGTCATTGAGGGACCCAGCAGCGATCGCTTGACTTCCCACCAGCTTGAGACGGCTATACAGAAGACTGAAACAGGAAATACGAACCACAGAGTCTATTTTTTTTAAATATGTATTGTAATTACATTTATAGCTGGAAATGTATTGAATAGCCTATTTTCTGTTTTTCATGGAAGATGGAAAATTTATAATCTAGTATTAACAAGTTATTTTTTTAAATGAAATTAAATCATTCCTTTCCTACTTTCCTATTTTGCTTTAACTTTTAGCTTACAGAATATGATTTATACCGTCGTATTTTTTATATATATATATATATAATATATTTATATATATATATATAAAATTACTATTGGCGACATAAAATACACACTGAGGATCACTTGCCTTTCATGTGTGATCATGCGGTCGATGTGGGGTTTTGGATTGCAGGTTGTTTGGTGCAGGATTTTTAAATGGTTTTAATATTTTGAAAGTATCCAATGTGGATTTCAGCGACCCACAGATTTAGATGAGTATCAAACCTCAGTTGAAAGACCTCAGGCCAAATAATTATCTGAACAAAAAAGTGTTTAACATAGCATGACTTGATCATTTGGCGAGAGATTTTTTGTTATAGTCTTGGGCTACATATTATTTTCCAAAAGTTTGCACTGGCGATTTTAGAACTAAAGTAATTGTGCTCACATAGTGGGGGGAAGTGATGTCTATAATCTTGCTGTAAAGAAATTCTGTACATTACAGCCTCTTCCCAGGTTTCAATGGGGTTACGTTCCTACAAACCTATCATAAGGTGAAAAATTTTAATACAGTACACCTAAATTAAACAGCATAGCTTAACCTAGCCCACCTTAAACATGCTTAGAACACTTGCATTAGCCTACAGTTGGGTAAAATTTATATAAAATCGTTGAACATATCATGTAATTGACTGAATAATTTAATGAAAGTGAAAAACATTTACCCGTAACACGGAGCATCGTAACCCGGGGAGCGTCTGTATGTACAAGTGCAGACAGTGTTTGCCCCAGCCAGTCTGTCAGCATGAGAATCCATTTGGTACATTAATGCATTACGGTTTCTGCCACTAGATGGGGCAAAAGCCGTGCAGCTGTGGGTGGACCGCCCCCACCCCCCCGGAAGATAAAAGTTTGTTTCCTGTTTAATGTAATTATGATTGGAAACATTTCAATCTCGAAGTACACTGGTTTACGACATATGAACGAAATTACTATTGGCTGTTAAACAGACCAAGTATAGAATCGAACATTGTAAAACATGGGGCCGAACCGGCCGTGTCCTACGGTGAGGTTAATCAAGTGATTTTGGTTGTGCAACAAATCACTGTAGTCTGTGGAACGCAGTATTTAAACGCAATATTTAAAATAAAACTGTCTAGCAATGCAAATAAAAGTGCGTAGTTCATTATTAATATTTCATTGTGTATTTCTTGCTGCTGTAGCACTCATTACCAATAACTGCTAGAATAATCACCCTCAGACTTTATCCTAACGTTTGTGACGGCCGTCTCGCTACGTTTTATTACGTATTATTTTTATGGCTTTGGTTTATCAACTGTCTCAACCCAGACACACAAACGCAACAAATACAACCATATAAACAGTTAGTTACTCTAAGCAAAGCAATATCCTCAATACTCTTGCCTTCAGTTACGGATACACTAACTTACCCTATCACCCCTCCTTTGTGACCTGTGATTCCTGGGTTACAGATAAGCGCTTATGTAATTTGGACCGAAGGCAGGACCCCGTACTGTACTTTACTATACAGCTGATATAGTGAAATTGTTTACATCGTGACCCACAGCGTGATTAGCAGATTAGAAGTGTTTATTTACTTTGGAATTGTTTCGTAATTAGTTTCGTTATAGTTTGCGTTTTATTTCACAGTGATTTAATCACCCTTTAAAACCAGCAAGAGGTTTTTAACGCTGCTCTGCTTCAGTACTTCCGCACACCGCCCGCCCCCACGCAGTCCTCCGTGCGGTACGTGAGCGCGCCGCCGCTGCGCTGTATCACTCCACCGGAATGTGCGCGAGCTTTCTGGAAGGGAAGCGCGGCGCGGGAGGCGGGGCTTAGTCAAACCGGTTTAAAGCGGACCTCGCATGCTCTCTTTTGGGTCACGTGCGACGTCTGACGTCGTTTCAGGCTAATATTGCATGACTGGAGTTATCAAACTTTAATAAAACAGGGACCGTTAAATGAAAATAGACCAGAATCCCGTGAGCCCAGCCCCCAATGGCCTGTAAATTTACAAAAAAATGAGAAATAATAGCTTTGGCATATCATACTAATATACTTTACAGTAATTACGAACCGCTTTATTGACGAGTGTGTTAATCAATCTACATTTGCCCCACCTGCAATCCGAATAAACCAGTTTAGTGAGTGTAATAATTGATATATTACTTATTAAAGATGCTAGATCTTCGCGTTTAAAATGGCTTAGCTATGTAACCTGAATCTAAATTATCTTTTTTTAAAAATCTAAATCAAAGACGGTACTTACCCTTTGACCACTGGATCTATATGCTGCTGAGCTGGGTTTTTTTGTGTGAAAGCTCCTATGAAAACATGAAAACCTGGCAGGAATATAGTCAAACTTGCAGAATGTTCTTTTGTCATTGTTACGCCAGTTAAGATCTTTGAAGCCAGTAATACCACCTAATTGGCAATTATTACACAATATTGAGGTATTTTACTAAAATCATCCAAATCTATATCTTATAGCTCAGACTGGCCATGGTTAATCAAAACAACAGGTTATTCAGAATAAAATCCTTCTTGTGGACAGGAAATAGTTTAATTACTGTACTCCAGTAAAGGAGATTTCCTGCAAACCTCATATTGAAACACAGTCATGAAACAAGCAAGATGCAATCATGTGAAATGATGTCTCCAAGTTAGCCAGAGTGTGTGAGTATGTGTTAATGTGCCCTGCAACAGACTGGCATCTCACTGAGGGCGTTCCCTGCCTTGGGCCCTATGCTGCCTGAGATAGCCCCCCCTAAAATGGAGGCATGGGGGATGTTTTGATCATCTTTGTATAAGTTATAGTGTTTCCTTTTTGGCAATTGCATGTTCATTCTAACCATGTGCACATGATTAAAATAGATACCTGATTCACCAGATTAGCTATCAGTCATACATTGGTCCTGTGTAGGCCTACACAGCACATAAGCATGTTTGGGGTAGCTCAGTGGGTTAGGAATAGGCATCTAGAAGGTTCTGGATGTCTGGCAGTATAATTATATCATCAGTATTGGGTGTTGGCTGACCCTGATCACTGGCCCATGCTTCTTCACTTACATGTGGCATTGGTCAAAAGTGTCTGATGAATAAATAAATGTACAGGCATTGTAATAGATCCAACAGTCTACGAAGACAAGGTTATTTGTTGCTTGTTAGTCTAATCTCTTTTAATTTAGGAATAAAATTAATCTGACTGATTAACAGGACTATCAGCATATAGGATTAAGGCATAAAACGACAGAAGAGATTTCCTGTTAAATAAATGTACAGAAAAAGATATACGATTAAAGGAAGCCGATCTTTTTTGGCCTGAGTCAATAAATAATTAGGTCGTCTACTTTTACTTAAATCACGTGACAGAACGTTGCTATGTAGGTTTTAATATTAAAATCAGCAGTAGAAGCAAACGAATACACACCGCTCAATCCCTGTATCTCGTTTTAGAAAACACAAGCAATAGTTTTTTTGTTTAGGAGGTGGGAAAATCCTTCGCTGTACTAACATTAAGACCACATTTCAGATTCCAGCCATGACTGGTTTTGGGGGGAGATGTTCTTTTGGGAACTTAGGAGTCGACAGAGAGAGCGCAGAAGAGCCACTCGACAACGCAGCTCCTGCAATTTATTCCAAAGTGTGAGGATAGAGTCATACAAACCGAATTAGACTTCACATTGGGGATGCGTCTTTGGCCGCTGGTGTCACTTTATATTCTGTAATCCCTTTTCCAGTGCAACAGGCGAGTCTGCGGGAGAGTTTAGCAGGCGCTCTGAGCCACGCCCCCTCTGCGCTGTAAACGTCACCCCCTCCGGTCACGCCTCTCCGTCATTTAACGGCCGGGAGAGCGGTGTTGGGGGAGGGGAGGGGTTAGCGGCAGCGTTGGGCGGGGCAGGGGGGTGCAAACTTATATAAGCGGGCTGCAGTGTTTTGTTTTTGGCAGCCACCTCACCCCCATCGCGCTTGCTGCTCGGCGGCCCTGCTTCCTCCGGAGCGGTGGGTTACTCAAACGGCGCAAAGGCTGGAGCTCCTGAGATAACGACGGGGTACTTTATTCTATTCCATTTTTAAAAGATGTTTTTAATTTTACATTAAAATATTAATTGCCGATGCTTTCTTTTGATTTAGTTAGGTAGTCTGCCACTTATTCAGCCTTGTCTTTACCATGACTGGCTAGCTTGGTGTGTAGTCTGTAGAATCAGAATCTGCCGCCTTACAGTTGGATAGCTACTAGATGTAACCTATTATAAGCTAGATATAAACCTGATATAAAAGCTAAAAAGTGTTTCTGATACAAAAGCGAAGAATTTAGCTAGTAAAATGACCACCAATGACAGTACTGTGCCGTTTATTTTTAGGAATCCTTGTGCTTATTTTTTAACGGTTTATTTTTTTGGCTCGCGGCAGTCGTCGTTTATTTCGGTGGTGATGGTGGGAAAATCACGTTTTGTCGTCTGCACTGGCTGAGACGTTAGCTAGCTAGCTAGCTAGCGCACACTTCGGGATCCGTGGACATGTCTGGACAAAGTCAAGGCGAGACTCGCTCGCTGTCCCCCTGACTTAATAGCTTAACCTTTTTTTTAATATAGCTAATTGTACCTTTGGTGCTTCCCCCCCCCCCCCCCCAGACATCCCGTTAGACGGATATTCTGTAGCCCAGACGTCTTCGGGAGCATTTCTGTTTCTTCGAGAGTTTTCTGACTGTTTCCACCCCGAGCGCTCCGTTGTCAGCCATTCAAAGAAACAAAAAATGGTCCAGAATAAAATCACCGAAGTTACCGGATTTCACAGATCCTTCAAGGTCAGTGGCCTCCTGCAGACCGTTCCGTGTGTTAATGTACATCTGAGAAGCTCAGCCTTGGTCTGTTTGCGCAGAGATGCACATGTGAACGTTGCGTCGCATTGTAGCCCCAGAATGCGGGTCACACGCCGCGTATAGTTTTTAAGCACTTTTATAATCTTTTAGGCTTTCATTCGTATTTTCCGTACGAACGTTAGCGATGATTTTTTTGATCCGGTGGTTAAAATAAATTAGAATCTGTAGCATTCTAGTGCATGGGTATTTCATAGGGCATTTATAGGTCATGGGATGTGTTATACGGTCGGCTGTCCGCTTCCAGCTGTGGTGCTGTCGCTGGCTTGTACGTGCATGATGCCGTTTCTGTTTGCCCGTATCTGAGTGATGTGCTGCCATCGTCCTAAATGAGCGACCGTTGGCGTATTATTAGACAAAAAGACCTTAATCCACTCGAGGGATGTGCTTAATGAGGTGTATCTCCTCTGCATGCAACGGTTTAACGTTCCAGTATTCATAACAAAAAGCTATAGACCTTACGAGGTGTTGAGGCTTTGTGGTCCATTTTTACCTGTAGGTCCAACCGTTAATATGCCGCAAACCTGTATGAAGCCGATAAAATGCGCGATTCCGTACAGGACTATTTAATATATATATATATGAATATCTGTATTTTTCTGTCCTGCTTAGGGTCAGAACCCCTTTGATTCTGAATTCAGTAAAGCTAATGCCCACTTCCTTGGCTCAACCTTCGATTTGGATTCCCCTGAAAGACCCGGTGAGTTTGATCTTCGGGTTGATCTTTTTTGAAGAAATAAATGTCAGTTTGGATTAATTTACTTGTATTGGCTGTTCTTGCATATATATATGCATAAGCAGCAGCAGCAACATTGGTTTGTTGGCTGTTTCTGTGCAGAAATGCCTGCCAGTCAGCCCATTGACATTCCAGATGCTAAAAGGCGGAATAGGAAGAAGAAGAGGAGCAGGGCAACTGATAGCTTCACGGGGCGATTTGAAGGTGGGACTGCCATTGACAAGGTTTAGCATGAGCTTTGCATGGCCCTGGTACCTTTTAGCTAACATGATTACCATTCTGAGAGCATATTTGGTTTCATAGCTTTTTAGGAGGATGATTCACTATAGCTTGTGTTGTATTCCCTATCTGTAAGACTATGCCGTGTTGGTCGAGGTGTCTAAAGCGCATTTAAAAATCCTTTCTTAGATGTGTACAAGCTGCAGGATGAGGTGCTGGGGGAGGGGGCTTATGCCAGGGTCCAGACCTGTGTCAACCTCATCACCAACAAGGAATATGCTGTTAAGGTAGGACCTGCATTGAACTTTTTAGCTTTGAAATAACTGGACAAAATGGCAATATGAATGGGTTTTGCTGATTGTGTATTGATGCACGTTTTTGTTTTTTTTTTCTTTTTGTGTCACTTATTTGGTGGGAGATGCATGTTGTGTAGCTTCTGGACAATCTGAAAGACACATGTCTCACAACCTGGCCAATATGCTTGCATTGTCGCAAAATCCTTACGCCCCAGCTTTGTAGTTCAAAACCTCAATTTAGCCGTGAAAATTTTGTGCAGTTATCTGTGCCGGATGTCATCTGCCAACGGTTTTGCAGCTAGACTTGTGCCTGTGGTGCTAGTTCAGCACAAAGTTCCTTTGTTATTGTTGTTGTCTGGCCCATCAGCCAGCCAATGAGTGGTGAGGGGTGGTAAGCTCCACCTACAGTTTCTTGAATACAGGATCTCTATTGGTGGGAATCATCTGTTCTGGCAGATGTTCTAGAACATAAGGCACTTCTGAAAGGGATGGAGGAGGGGAGAGGTTATAACCAAAGATACTTTCGTTTGTGTGTGTGTGTGCGTGTGTGTATGATATATTAAATGAATATCTTCAACAGGTTTTTTTTCTTAACTGATTATATAAATTATACACTATTTTTTTTCTACTTTAAGGTCAGTTTTATGGTTAATAGATTTGATTTGTATTTCATTTAAAGCTGATTTTGACAAATTATTTTATTGATATAAAGAACCAAAATAACTGAAATTCATCTAATGTTATTCCAGAGTAACTTTTTTTTTTGCTACTGTTGCTCTTTTTTTGGTCTTGGGAGAGTGAGACTTTGACATTGGTTTAGCTAAGATTAGGCCATATGTCACCCCACCCCCACTCCCTGGGGGGTGTACTTGCACTGGTGATACTGTTGGAATGAAGCCAAAAGCTGAATGAAAACACTTGTAATTGGCTGGCCAGTGTCAAGCTCAGTGAAGCCCCTGCGGTTTGTCTTGCTTGGGTGTTTACCCTCCCGAGACCTCTGAGTATGCAACTTGGGATCGGAATGGTCTGTAGCAGTCGCATTTGCATTAAGGAAGACCAGGCATTTTGTTTTCTTGAAAATATTGCTTTTGACGTACATCCTGAGAATCTTTTGTATGAAAAGGGAACAGGCTAGAAAAGGGGGTTTTCACACCGACGTAAAATGAAGACAACAGGTGTTTGCTTCAGGTTGAGGTTATTTGCCATCACTTTCCCAGTCATTTCATCTGAACTTTTTGGGTTTTCCAGCACTTGTGTAATAAAAATGTAACTGTCTGCTGTCGACGCGATGCATCCTGACTGCCGTTTGAGACCCGGCTCATTTTCTCAGATCATTGAGAAGAGACCAGGACATAGCCGCAGTCGTGTCTTCAGGGAGGTGGAGATGCTCTACCAGTGCCAGGGCCACAGGTATTCACTAACGCTGCATTGGAACTGCACTGTTGATGTACATACTTTCACTAGAAACGTTGTAGTAAGGCAAAGCGGTAAATGTCTGCAGTGTTTCCCCCTGAGTTAACATAATCCTGTCATCTTGGTTGTCCAATTATCTGACAATCCAGACTGTTTTTCAGAAAGAACGGCACATGCTTATGTCTGGACAAAGGTGTCTGCTAAATGTAAATAATACTGATGTGCTGTGCTAAAACATAGCATTGTTGCGTTTCAGAGCATTGTGCTGATCCTTGTTCCTGCCTCTTTTTGCAGAAACATTTTGGAGTTAGTAGAGTTCTTTGAGGAAGAGGATAAATTTTACCTTGTGTTTGAAAAACTCAGGGGAGGTGAGAACAGTTGCTTGTAATGGAGGAGATGCTTAAAGCCTCTTTGAAACATTGACAGCTGCTGTTGGATATGTCAGCTGTGAAATTGGGGACAAAGACAACCCTTTGGAGCTTTTAGTGACCGTATTGCTTCTACTTCATGCAGATGTTTTAATAGACACGGAATATTGCTGTGCCTTGCAGGCTCCATATTGAATCACATCCACAAAAGACGCCACTTCAATGAGCAGGAGGCCAGCGTTGTGGTGCAGAACATCGCCAGTGCACTTGACTTCCTGCATACCAAAGGTAAGTTCAGCACCCCTTCAGAGGTAGACGTGCAGCTCCTTGTCTGCTCCAGAGTACAGTTACATGCTGCTCGTCTTACCGTCCTTTTCCGTTTCAAAAGGAATGGCACACAGAGACCTCAAGCCTGAAAATATCTTGTGTGAGCATGAGGACAGAGTGAGTAGATTTCACAATGTTTCTACCGTGCACATTGATTCTTCTGGAAAATATAACCTTTACCGTCTTCATCCCCATGTCAGATCACACTTGTGAAGATTTGTGACTTTGACCTGGGCAGCGGCATTAAGTTGAACAGCGACAGCTCCCCTATATCAACACCAGAGCTTCTTACTCCGGTAAGAATTTAAGAATTAAATCTGTAATTTTTTTACCTGGTTGAAATTTTGGAAACATTGCATGGAAACAGTGATGCAAAGCTGTTTGTCAGTTTGCTGTCACGCCATCTTATCAGCCAGAGTATTTTATGATTTACGCTCATTCATTTATGGGCTGAAGGATATGACTTATTATGCTGATTAACTGGAAGCAAAATAGCTTTTGCTGTATTTTTATGCTGTTCCTCTGTACTTGTTTAATCAACCAAGCTGTTTGTTATAAGGCTGGGTTCCCTCTGGGGTAGAAGCTCAGGGCTAATGGTCACCTCAGTCACTTAAGAATGGTAGTGAGAGTTACTCATGTCCCTGTCTTTGTCAGGTATGGTAAAAGTGTGGGAGACAGACTCACAATATGTTATTCCGTGGGTCATTTAATGGCACAGGGCATGGTGCTTTTATTGTGCTGGGAAGTTACCAGAAAAACCAGATGTTCAAGACGGGGAAGTAAAAATTTAGTCTGCTTGTACTTTCCCAACCGCTTTTTTTGTTTAGAGATTGTTTTGGGGCGGAAAGTGCTGCGGGCCTTTTTCGCTTGAGTTATCGAACAAAAGATTAATTTAAATAAGGTTTATGGCTGTGTTTTGAAGAGGTTCTCCTTTCCTTATTTCCTCATATCGTACTTGTCAATAAAGGCCAATCAACTGAACGCAGGATGTCTCCACCCACTTTCCCTCACCCATTTTGTGCAACTCTGCATTTTCGTTTGTTTACACTTCTAAGGCTGGTGCTTAAAAGCCTGAGAGCAGCCCATCCTACCTAGCAACTAGTCTGTGATTGGCTGCCCCGCTGGGGCAGGGGAGGGGGGCTGGGGAGGGATCATACACTCTGTTGCTCATGTGTCGTCTGGTGTCTGTCTAGGATTCTTACTGGTGCCACTTATCTGGGTTTAGCTTTACCCAGCTAGGCTTGAAGACCATCCTGCAGCCTTTTTTTTTCCCCCCTGATTTTTAATAAATTTTTAAAAGTTGCATGAAGGATATCTGATTTGTGTTATTGGAGTAAGTGTGCATTTTCCAAGAAGTATGATCTTTGTGAATGAACTTGTCAGTTTTGTTTTGGGGGTGTTGTCTGTGTAGTTTGGTAAATGTGTACTTCTCCTGTACATGGCTTTAGTTCCTTTCGTGTGTTTACAGTTGCTGTCTGTGTGAAGTTTGGGCGAGCCGTAAAGGCTGTGAGAATTGGCACCACAGTCCTGCAGTAGCTGGGGGCTGTGGCTTTGTGCCCGTTAGCACAGAGGTGTGAGGCTGGGACAGACGGTGGCTCGGGTGGAGCAGCCGCGATGAGGTCAGGCATCCGTTCGACCGCGGGGAATTCACTGCGGTTCCCAGCGACAGGATGTGAGGCGAACGTGTAACAAGCAGAGTTTAAATTCTCATCACATGCTAAATTGGTCCAATTTGGAAGTTTACGCCCTGTACGACGGAGATGAGCCGTTTGCAGTTTACTGTTTTGTGCACTGTGGTGGAGCTGAATGGGAGCGTAGGAGTCCCTGGTTTTCCTGATGCTGCTTTGAGCTGCTGGGAGCCATCAGGCTTTCAGCTTGTACTCCCCCACTCTTCTCCACCATAACAGTGTGAGTTGAAGTCAGATGCAGGACAGCTTTTTTTTTGGGGGGGGGGGCTGGGAGTGAGCAGCAGTGA